CAGATCAAGGAAACGCTTGCCAGTATAGAATAGATCAGGACCCCCCATGTCTGCCACTACTCAACAACAAAAATGCAACAAGTGCTGTTCAAGATGTGGGATTCACCTCCCAGAGAAAAGAGGTCACTGCTTAGCAAGTGAAGCCAAATGCCACAAATGTGGTAGTCGATCATTTTCAAAATGTATGTGAAAGCACTGTGAATGACATCACTGAAGAACAGAGTATTCAGTTCCTTGGAGCAATTATCCAGGAGAACTATGAGCTATGGACACTCAAGGTACAAGTAAACAGATGACCTATCACCTTGAACTCTTTCGTGGTCAGTGTTAAAAATTAATATTTAACCGTGTGTGCAGTAGTTTGCAATGTTGGGATAGCAGCATTATACAGTTGCTAAAACATGCAGATAGCAACTAAATATAACTAATGCATCTTGTTATAAGACAAAGGGACACTTTAAGCACTTGTAAAAATGGAAACCATTGTTCCACAAGTTAATATGTAGTGATAATGCAGTAATATAGCTTAAAAATTCATCAGAAATATCAAACAGCAATAATGAACTGTAATTATGACAGCAAACAATAGAGCAAGTGTGTACAGAATGTCTAGCAATGAAGCTCTAGCTTTCCATATTTCACAAGTCTAGAAAATAGGCAAGAAAGAGGCTTAGTATCACTGCCTCGAGACCATGCCCACTTCTTTTCTCCATTGCTTTATTTATTTATTAATTTTATTTATAACTTTACAGTGCAAGTAAAAGAGAGTAGTAAATTAAGAGTGAATATTGTTCTAGTGAAGACTGAAGGACTGACCAAGGTCACTAGGAGAGCCTTGAACAAAATGGAAAGAAAGAGATTAGGAGAGGGAAAAGGAGAGATACAAAATCACAAATAACAATAAATTAAGAAAAGAAAAGAAGACAAGAGAGCAAGAGATGAGGAAAGGGAATAGGAGAGGTACAAAATCACAAACAATAATAACTTAATAATAATAAAATCAAGTAGATAATTACAGTAATAATGATAACATTATGATTAAAAGCTAACAGAAACATGCTAGAATTTATAAGTGAAGTTACCGAGATGTAGATGGAGGTGTAGCATATAAGTTGTGACAGCTGCTTACACGGGCATATTACATGATATGTACAGGAGCATTCCGATTTGAAGTTGGCTAGAAATTGATGACATGGGATAAAAGTAAAAATGTAGTCTTTTCTCTAATGTAAATGCTCTTATAATGATGAAACATGGTTACAACTCCTATTTTATCCATGACAAATTCTTTGTTGGTGTCATGTTCGCTGTGTCTACAGTCTCGGATCCAGGATTCGACGAATCAGCCTTATACTACAGGATCAGGGGACGTTTAAACAAAAATGGTCCCGCATAAAGCGGGCAAGCCATAAGGAGAATACTACTACTATACACTTGGAACATTGCGGCTGTACCCATTAGTGTGCAGTGTCAGGTCGCTGAGACTGAGACTTGTGAGAGTGATGGCTCTAATTATGTTCTCGCAATGTAGGAGAATACTGTACACTTGTCTCTAGGAGAGCGCTTTGAAACATGAGAAACTAGAAGAAAAGGTGAAGAAGTATAACAGCTACATTTTGTGAGCTGTGATGCTAATTGTATAGAAACTGCTCAAAAGAAAATAGAAAGACCGATAAAGGCAGAACTGAAGTACTATGAATTGAAGTATAGTTGTATTCACGGAGGACAAGCATTTAGATTGAAAGGCAAAGGCATAAGTCACTCATCGTAATGGACCTTATGCAACGAACGGTCCAATTAACGCGCACCTCCCAACTGGATGAAAATGGCGGATTTTTTGGTGAACAGGCAGGCTGAACATTTTCCTCTTTTATCAAGTCATCCTTACTGTAGGAGCTACTTTGAGCTCTCTTTTTGTTTTATCATACTCTATTTATTTCTCCTGTAAGCTCTTTGGTTGTTGTTTTGGCTTTTATAGCAGTTTTTCGTAGGCCTATTCTCATCCTTTGCCAATTCCCGTTTTGGTAAATTTTGCTTTCAGGAGCCAAGGCGCTTGCTTCTCTATTGCTATGAAGACAAAAGTGTATTCAACTGAGTCCTATGACTAATGTCTATCATCAGACTTAGTCTCAGTTCATCAGGACAAGGTACGGTGGAATAACTCACTCAGTTGTCATGTTGCAGCTGGAGTGTGGATGATTATGACCATCTTTTCACTTTTAAAAACTATAGGATGGCCCTTTTATGGATAGTTGAGGGATGCAAGAACTCTCTGGCTCTTATTCTTTATCTGTAAATTCACTGGTTGTACTGTAGAAGCACTTCATTTCGTATTAAAGTCTGTGTCGCTAACCAGGACTTGCAGAGAAGAATCATCACATTCAGGACTCGTTAGTGGCTTGTCACCATTTGTATCCTCTCCTAACAGTTTTATTTGATATTTATAATTATAAAAAAAACATAATTG